ATTCCTGCTCAAGTAATCAGGGCAAAGGGTCTGGAAATCAGGGTTACGGGGAAGGGCAGCATCCTCGGAGAAGCCCTCTGCCCCTTGTCTGGCTTCCTGACCCAAGGTCACCCCTGGCCACTGCGATCACTGCCCAGAGCCTCAAGGGAGGGCTTGATGGGCCACGTTCTCAAGTCCTCCCAGCCTGCGTCCTGGGGGTGGCGGTGGGAGACCGCAGTCCCCTCCCAGGTAACGCCTTCTCTGTTGCAGGGGTAGTTAAGGAGGTCGAGGTGCCAAGGGCTGCCCTGGGCACCCCCGTTCCTGGGACGGGGACCAGCAGCCACTCACCTGTGGCCGAGGAGGAGGTGGGCGTCCCAGTACCGGCACCGGGTCTCTTGCAGGTCACGGAGAGGCGGCGTAAGTACAGCCCACCTGTCCCGGCGTGCTCCCTGGGACCAGGGGCGGGTCCCTGGGCCTCGGGTGCGCCCCAGGGAGCAGGTGCCGGGGATGGGTCAGCCCCACCTCGTTCCCACCGCACTGGCCTTCACCTGGCCCCGCTGACACGCCTCTCTGCCCCCAGAGCCCCTGAGCAGCGTCTCCTCCCTGGAGGTGCACTTCGACCTCCTGGACCTCACCGAGCTGACTGACATGTCCGACCAGGAGCTGGCCGAGGTCTTCGCCGACTCGGATGACGAGAACCTGGCCAGCGACTCTCCCGCAGGTGGGGCTGCTGCTGGGGTCTGGAGGGGGTTGCGGGAGGTCCTGGGGCCTCAGGCCACCCAGCACCGCTCCCTGGAGACCCATTTTGGAAAATGATTTCCTTTCTGACGCGTGTTTAAGTGTTTGTCGACACGGCCCCATTTCACTCACCATTTCTGCTCTTCACACACCTATCTGCCGGCTCTAAGGGATTTTTCTACCCCTCCTTAATTTCACTTTTCAAATGCCAACGTAAGGCCACAGCCACAGTCCCACTGAAAGCAGAATTCACTACTCGGGTTTAATCCCAAGTAGGCAGAGCACAAAGCGGGTGGTGTTCACCAGTCCAAGCCCCTCCTCAGCTCAGTTCCCGGGAAGCGGCTGGAGCCCGCAGGCCGCAGAAACGGCACGGGAGCCGCCGGGGGTATGGGGGCCCAGGGACCTTCCCCCATCCCAGCTCACTGCCCATGCAGGCGGGGGGCACGTGGGCTTCAGTAGTTGTGGCTCCCCCCCGCGCGGGCGGGGGGGGGGGGGGACTGGCACCTGCTCCGGGCCAGGCTCACCCCCAGGGCGGGCACCTCAGCTGCACGGGGACCCTCCTGGGGACAACAGGAAAGCCCCTGGCCGGGCTGCACCCAGACCCACGTGTACACATTGCTGGTGCCCAGGGGACCCCAACGTGTGGCCCGACGCCATGCTGGAGGCACACACGGGCCCAGCCCAGTAGCTGAAGGAGTGACCTGGGACCCCAAGCCACACTGACCCCAGCCCGTGTTCCCACCAGGCCTACACCCGCTGCCCAGGGCTGGCTGTCTGCGCTCCCCCTCCTGGACACGCACCAGGGCCGAGCAGAACCGTGAGAAGCAGCCCTTTGGCGACCCCGAGCGGCAGCCTGCCGTTGTGGACACGTTTCTCACCGTGGAGAGGCCCAAGGAGGACTAGGCCGGCTGGCCCAGGGCCAAGACGGGGCAGGTCCGGGCAGCCGTGGCCCCGTGGACGCTGCCCGCCCCACATGGCGCCTCTGCATAAGCACAGCCCAGTGGCCTTACGTCCAGCTCTTCCTGGTTGCTGGATCAGGGACCAGGCCCAGGGATGAGACGAGACTTCTGTCTGTAGGAATGGTACTGTCTGTCACCAGACTCCCGGGTAGGGGTGCGGTGAGCAGGGATCTGCCCATGAGAGGCTCTCAGCAACCCCCCGGGGGTCTCGGGGCTCCAGTCTTGAACGGCAGTGCCAAGCTCCAGCCCGCGGGACACCCTGCTGCCCTAACCGCCTTGATTCCAACCCTGCGCCCCTCCTGCCGCCCAGGAAGTGTCAGCACCAGAGCCCCCAGACCCTAACACCCTGCTTGTCGTGATCCCTGCCTGAGAGCCAGACCCACCTCCTGAGCTCGAAACACCAAATATGTCACGACTGCCTCAGACCGCCGGGCAGGGCAGGGGCAGGCGAGGTTCGCCCTTCCCCCGTCCTTGCCATGACAGTCCCCGCGGCCCACCAGACACACGCACACAGGCACGCACACGCGTGCAGCAGCCCGAGGGGCATGGGGACGTAAGGGGACCTGGGCACAGCGCCTGGCCCCCAATTCAGGGGCGCCAGGCTCGGCTGCTCCAGACGCTGCTTACATACTAAGGGATGGAACTGGCTTCCAGTCAGACAGCGAGTCCAAGAACAGTTTTAAAATAAACGTGTAAGCTTGCTTTTAGTCCCCAAGGCCACCTGCCCTGACCCCTTCTCCACTGAAACATTTCTGGGGAAGGAAAACAGGCCTGGGCACATGCTGGGGCCCACGGGGCGTGGCTACAGCACGTCCCGCCAGGAAAAGGGTCGCCCTATGCGCCAGGAGGGGCACGTGAGGGGCAGCAACAGGGAGGTGTCTTCCAGACAACCAAGAATTTCACTTAAAAGGGATTCCCGTTGAGGGCAGCCGCACCCCCCCGCCCCCCAGTCTTCCCCCGGGGCCGAGTTCCCATCCTTCTCGCTACGGCTTCTGCAGATCTCATTTCCAAACAGCAGGATTAAAACGGCACCCTGTCCTAAGTCTCGCCGACCAGCCTCTTCCTTTCCAGCTGACGTGGGAGCTCAGGCGTGCGGGCCGGGGGTGGCTGCTCCAGGGGCCTCCAGGAGCTCCGCGCTCTGGCCCTCCCCCAGCTAAAGCCACTGGGGGTTCCACTGTGACACGCCCTGGGCTCTTATTTGGGTCACGTTTCAGGGCCAAGCGCCCTGGCTCTCGAGGCGTTAAAGAAGCGAAGACCCTGCCTCCACAAGCCCAGGCTGCAAGAGGCAGAGGTACTCCCGAGAGGCTCTTCCCAGCCTGGGGCAGGTTTCTGGGGAGGCAGCCGCCAGGTAGGGTCCGCCTGTGAGCAGAAGACCAAGGATGAAGCCTAAACCCTGACCGTCTTAACCACCATGAGACGCAGGCCGCGTGCCCCGTGCCGGGCGGTTCCTCCTGCGGGGCTGAGCCTCCCTAACCCGAGATCCTCGGCCAGGCCTCGGCCCAGGTGGGGCGATGGCCCAGACCGGGTGCGAGGTGAAGGGGGGGCTGAGGAGACTGGAGGGGGTGCAGGCACGGGGCACGCAGGCAGGGGCGCTGTCCCCAGGGGAGTGCCCTGGACCCGGGGAGGGGCTGTACCCAGTCTCCCAAGGAACAGACCCCCAGGCTCAGGACAACGTGGGTCCTTCCTGGGGTCAAGGAGAGCACCCCACCTCCATCAGAAGAAGCCCCAGGACAGGCCCCTGCAGGACACCGAGCAGCTCAACACACGGAGGCTGAGTGTTCAAGGCTGCGTCACAGGGCAAGCCCCGGAGATCTCAGAGATTCAGCAATACACATTTCACAAGCAACAAAGTTGAAAGTGTTTGTCCCAAGTTGAAAACTCTATTTTTGAGGCAAACATACCAAACGATTTGGAAAATTTCATCCCTGAGGCCCAGCGTGTGGCCATGGCTGGGACAGCAGCGGCGGGCACGTGGGGCGGTGCCCCTGCTCTCACAGTCAGCCCGCGTCGCCCACCCCAAGGCAGCAGCTGCTGCTTCTGTCACAATTCTGACGACTCCGACGCCCTGCCCGTGTTCTGGGGACCCGCGGGGCCATTTCCACTAACCCCGACTCCCCGGGGGCTGGGCCCTGGTCTCGCTCCAGGACCAACCGGGGAATGGAAGGCTCAGCCCTAGAGCTTAGCTACGGCCCCCGGTGGCTGTCCTACCACGTGGAGCAGCCCAGAGCCCCCCTCTCCTGGACCCTAACAACACAGGCCACGAGGAACGCAGCTTCCCAGAGACGCAGGGTTGGCAAGGCCCCGACCCTGAGAACAGGGGTGGCTCCGCTGGGGTACCCCTCAGGCTCAGACCCCCCAGACACCCCGCCTGTGGAAGTGGCGAGGCCCCTCCATAAGGACTTCCACCACCCTAACAGCTACTCGCTTGGCGCCTGGCTAGTATTCTCCTTTCCTCAATTCTGAACCTCACCAGACCTTGAGGATTTCTGAACTGGGCCAAAAGCCCCCTCTCTGTCTCTCCCCAGGGCAGGTGAGGTGACCAGCACCGATGTCCCCAGCAGATGAGCCCACCACCCACCTCGGGGGAGGCCCAGGGGGGTCCTACACGCAGGCCCCCAGGGGCCAGGTAAGTTTCGGCCACTGCCCTCTCCTCTGACTCGGGAACAGGGTCCCAGCCCCCGCCTCGGTGGAAGGGCACGTGCTGGGAGCTGGAATCCCCGTGGGCTCAGAGGACCCTGACCTGAAAACACCCATTTGTGATTATCACGTGTTTTAATTTGCTCTCTGGAGATTCCGCAGGCTGCTCTCCAGGCAGGGGCGCTAGGCTGGGTGGGCTCTCCTGCATGGGGCACTCCGTGCCGCCCTCCTCCGGCCCCCGGCGCCAGCCCTTCAGCCCCTCGGGAAGGGACGTGTCCTCCAGGCCACCGGTGCCCTCCACGAGCTCCTCGTAGGCGGTCTTCCCCGCGAAGGGCGGGGGCCCAAGCAGCCCCACCATGTTGGCACGCTCCAGCACCTCCTTCCCCAGCAGCCGCCTGCCCACCTACACACCAGGCCACGTCAGACCGTCCGCTCGGCGCCCCGCAGAGCCCCCGCCCCGACCCTGGGGACAGGCCGGCCCCACTCGCCTCGTCCACCCGCTCCCGGCAGCGCGTCAGCAGGTCCAGGGTGCGCGCATGCGCAGAGCTGACCAGCCGCCGAGCCTCCTGGTCGATGAGCTGGGCCGTGGCCTCGCTGTACGGCTTCTCCACCAGCGCCTCGCCAGGCCGGGGGAGGTCGAAGGACACCTGGCCCAGCTTCTCACTCATCTCGAACTGCACAATCTGGGGCAGGCGAGGGGCGGGCCTTGTGAGCCTGGCGGACGGGGCCCTGAGTCCCCTTCCCAGCCCCCGCAGACAGCGCCTTACCTGGGCGTAGGCACTCTGGGTGACCTTCCTCAGGTCGTCCTGGGCCCCCACAGTGATCCGCCCGAAGAACAGCTGCTCGGCCACCCGGCCACCCAGCACGGCGCACATGCGGTCGAAGAGCTGCTCCCGCGTGTACAGGTACTGCTCCCTGGGCAGGCACTGGGCGTAGCCGAGCCCCTTGCCCCGGGGGATGATGGACACCTGCCAGATACGGCAGACGCGCCCTGTCACCCCCAGGGTCCCCGGGCATCCCGGAGGAGGAGAGGAAGCCCTGGGCCCCAGCGCTGACAGGTCACCCCAAGGATGAACACAGAAACCCGCTCTGTCCCGCCGTCCCAGGAAGCTGTGGGGGAGCCGTGCTGTCAGGGGAAAGTTTAGAGTGAGGCGAGTTTAACATGGAACCTCCAGGTGTCAGCATCCAGACCCCTCCTGGAACCAGCACCCCCTCTCTGCCCACCCACCCCTCAAGGAATCTAGTAACAAATTCTAGAACATTACATCCTCAAAGAGGGAAGAGGGCTGCCACCCGGAATGCACCGTGCCCACACAGCACCCCCGGGAGGGGAGGGGGCCCCGAACCACACCGCAGATGCGCAGGGGGACGGGCCAACCTTGAGCAGGGGGTCTGCGTGCTCCAGGAACCAGCCCACCACCGCGTGGCCAGCCTCACGGTAGGCCACCGTCATCTTCTCGCTGGGCCGTAGGACCTGCGTCTTCTTCTCGAGACCTGCCAGTCAAGTTCATGGCAAGAGGCAGAAGACAACCGGACAGCTGAGAGGTGGGCGCCAAGGCCCCATTCTGCACTGCGGGCATGTTGGGGGCTGCTCAGGGCCTCCGTCCGCTCCACGCACACCGCTCAGGCCTGCTGGGCGCCCGCCCCTCCACACCAGACGCTACACTGCCTTCTGCTCTGCCGAAGCCCCGCCCCACCGTGCAAGCGGCACGTGCCTTTGGGGGCCCGTTTGTAGCCAAGGGGGTTAGCTACCCTCCGTGGCTTGACTGGCAGTGAGGCCGGACGCAGGGAGACCAGGAGCGCTCTCTACGCCGCCTACACCCAGTCGCAGGCAGGGAACAGGGCACAGAGAAGGCACCACGACTTGCGTGAGCTCAGCTTCAGGGCTGGTCAGCTCAGCGGCGCCGCCAGGACCGCGTCGAGCAGCTGTGGCGACTGCCTTGGGTCACTGACACTTGTCTGGGCACGCCACACTTGAATAAAACGTGAAGCAAAGACAAAGCAGCCCTGCCAACCTGCTGTCTGGAAATAGGCTGGTTCTCACAGCTGTGGGGCGGGATCATGAAGGACAGCTGCTGGCCACACGGACACCTCCCTGACCTCCGTCCCCGGAAGGGCACCCGGGAGACCTCTACCCCACGCTGAAGCTTCCCAAGGAAGCACGCAGAAAACCTACCTCTCGGCCATGGGCAGCACCCGAACCTGGGTCTGACGCAGCGCCCTGGAGGTTACATCTCTTTGAAATTCTAAACGTTGCTCTAGTAAGAGCATGAAAGCTGCTGGCAGATCCCAAGTCCCAGATTTTGG